CGATAAGGACATTAGCCACTCAGTGAAAACATTAGTGCTGGCTTCAGGTGAGAAGAATGGTTTCTCTGACTAAGGACACCTCTTTCCAAAAGTGGAGATGGTTTTACTTGATATTTTTCATCAAAATAATAGTTCTGTTCGGGTGTTCAGAGAGGAAGAATACTCAGCAGGGGTTTTGCAAACCATTTGAAACGGTGCTTTACAAAGTACATTAGCACAAACAGCAGCTCCCTGTGTAGTGTTAAAGCAGCTGCTTCCTTGGCAAAACCTTTGCGTGGCTGCTTCAAAAGCTGCCCCTGGTTTTTACTTGTGCCTGCTCACACAACACTTTCACTGAGATTGCGGAGGAAGCAAAATGGTGGTGTACATACTTGCATGCAGAGATCTGGGGATAACTTTCAAAGTAACTATGTTACTCTTGTAAAGGACGCAGCTGCTTTAAAACTTCGACAAGAGATGGCTGAGCACCAGGGAATGCACCTCTTGTGAACATCATACACAGGCTTGGAACTTACCCCACAAATATCCCTATAAATATCCCTTGTGCCCTGACCATGGTCCACTGATGTAACCCACCTCAAAATATCCATGTCAGCAGGGTAGACTTCATGCATATAGTGAGAGGCCAGCATGTGTAGATCTCATGTGTGCATGATTTTTCTCTGCTGATATCTGATTTATACATGAGGAGGGTTTAGGTTTGGCTTCTTGGAACCTGCTTCACATCTTGCACAGCCATAGTTGGCTGAGCAAAATAAATTGGCTGGGTTCATACAACACACTAACCTAGAAAACATGGTGTGCCAACCACAGGAGTTAGATTCATGCAACATGCTAAGTTGCAGGTTTGTTAGTATGGCTTTGTTTGAAGTATACTGTGTGGACTCAGCTAGAAAAGGGGGAAAGTGGGTTGGGTTACTGAACCAGTCAACAAGACCTTTCCCAGGCTGCTTTTCCCAAATGGGTTTTCCAGGCGTAGATTTGCAACCATTGAGATACAAAGAACCAAGGAAGGCAGAGAAACAAAAGCAGATGGGGGAATGATTAAGCCATTTTTCCCCAAATTGGTGCCTTTCGGATGTATTGGGACTACAAAAGCCATGCTGCTGGGGATTATAATGTGCAAAGCAGAGGATGGACATGTCTTTGCAACCAAGGGCTACAGGATCATAATGTACAGGGTTGTGACAGGGGCATCTGCAAAGGATCATACAAAGAAACAGTGGGATCTTTGATTGCATCATTGTGGCCACCAACTTGACTTTCTTGACCACACTCTGTGGACCTCCCCTGGGGACTGCAGATGGTTCACAGGCTGCAGCTGCCATACCTGTCTCAAACCAATTGGTCTCACTATGGGGGGAGATGAATATTTCAAACAAGGAGTCTGACAGCCTGTTTTGCAGAAGGTGCTTGATGGGCACCTAAGATGAAACCTATCCAGGATGGAAAGGCCTGGGAGCTGAGGGCTGAGCCCCAGCAGCTGGGCCCATTCAGATAGCGCTGAGGTTGCTTCAGCCTTGGCTGCCAGCAGAGCAACAAGGTTTTGCTTGTGTGTTCATTTGGCTCGCAAATTCCAGTCTGGGCAGGAGCCCAATTGCTGCTGCAGTGCGTGCACCCTCTGCCAGACCGCACAGCTGTGACCTCTTCCCCCTTCAGAGCATTTGCTGGCAACTTAAAATAGCCTTTAAAGTTCAGCAGCTCTTGGTGGGAATTTGGATGCTGAAATTCTGTCTGCCTTAGAGATTAATCATTTTTGGAACCCCCTTTTTTCCTTCCGCCTGGAGGATGAATAGTGCCAACAAACATCTCAGCCTGCTTTGTAGGTGTCCCATCTCAGGAGCCTTCAGGGCACAAAGTAGCCTCTGTGCCTCAGGTTGGAACTAGACCAATCCTGATTCACTTAAGCCGGCCTTCTTCCACACGACAATGTCCAAAGGTTTGGGGTTCAGGCAGTTGTGTCTGTAGGCACTCTTTATGATGAAAGCAACATTGCAACATCATATTGCAAGCTCTACACTCCACATTTTTTATGGCATGCTGCTGCAACTGAAGCTCCAGCCCTTCCCTATATGCGGGTGATGTCACAATTCATGTACAAAAGGGGGGGACTTGCATTGCATTGGTGCAACCTGTTTTGGCCATTTGCCACTGCCATCCCCCACCCCCTTCCTGCCAATGTCACTCAGTTGATGCCTCATTGAGGACAGAGCAAGTTTGGAGAGTGGAAGAGCAGAAAGAGAATGCACATGGGAGAGCAAAAGGAAAGAAGGAAGGAGGAAAAAGGAGACGGATCTCTCTGAATTATTTTTTTAACTTGTGGGTGGTGCTGAGTTTGTTCATCTTCCCCTTCCTTGAGTCAGTAAATCCACTGTCTAACTCTTGGTCTGGTTCTAGGTGGAGAGATGGAATCCACAAGCAGCTGATCCTGATGAGAGATGTAGAGGGAATGAGACAGTTCAGATTTGCTATCATCATATGTAGCTACTGGAAGTGGAAACGCCTTGAGGAATGGGAGCTAGGCAGAGTCAGACGTGGTTAATGCTTGGTCAACAGACCCCCAGAATCCATTGACTATAGGCTAAAACAGTGTTTCTCAACCTCAGCAACTTCAAGATGTGTGGACTTCAACTCCCAGAATTCCCCAG